ATATTTACTTATTACACAAATTCAAAACAAAGAATTCTTTGTGAAAGAATGTTGAGTTGAAAGGCAGATAGAAGCAGATTTTCGGTATTTCACATGCAAACTTTACAGTTTTGGGGAGCTTCCCATGGACTTGCTTTTCAGGTGGCTAAAACTAAAAACCATTTATCACTGCTGAGAGATTAGCAGCAGAAGATTGTACTGCAGCTGTCTGCATACACTTACGCACCCACAAAAATTTTAAATAGTCATTTAAAACATTATTAAAACAAATGAATTCTAAATCGGCCTACCAGGAATTTCCACCCGTTGGGTCTAGGCATACTCTCTGAAGCAAGAAAATGAAAGAGGTGCCTGACATCCTCAAATCCAAGAAGAGAGCCCGCTCGTCCCCAATTCCACACTGAATTTCTGGGGTGTCCCCGCCGGGGCCACAGCCGGGCCCCCACCGTTCTCAGAGCTGCCCTCATCTGAAGACCGCAAACCTGGGACCTGGGCTTCCTCCCACTGCCCCGTGACCTTTCGCCCGCCTTCCCCGTGACTCAGAAGTCAGGGCCAGACTACCCAGAGCGAGAGCCCTGTAGGGTCCCCGCCAGCATGCCCAGCCAGGGTTCCCATCCAGCTTCCCCGCCCAGGTCCCCGCCCAGCCTCCCGGGGGCTCCACCAGGCCACCTGCGCTCGCTCATTCACAGCACAGCCCCTTCCAATCTTGACGGCCTCCGCCCAGTCGAGCCTGCGTGAATCCAATTATTTCCCTCTACCTTCCACTCGGAGAGAGCGGCCAGGACGCCAACTGGCTTCTCTGGAAACACCCCGGCTCCCCAGCCCTCCTGGGGCATCTCTAGGTGACACCCCACAAGGCCCGAGGCCTCTACTCCTCCTCTCCCGTCGGCAGTGACCCTGCCTCGCACCTGCCGCGTGGGTCCAGCCACATTGTCCCAGCAGACGCTCTCACCTTAGCCTAGGGCTGGACTTACTGCTTCCAAAAGCGCTGGGCGTAGCCTTTATACGTCCGACCGCACCCCCATCCAACCGCCCAACGGCGCAACCGCCACTCCAAAGGTCGCCAACCGCTGCTCCAGGCCACGGGCTGCCCCGCCCCACGGCTCTGGGACCCCGCCCCTCCACCGCAGGCTGACCCAGCTCACCTCACCAACGGTCACGCCCACCGCCAGTCTGGCCCCGCCCCACCGTGCTCTCTCCCGGCTCCACGACCCCGCCCCTCAGCGGCAGGTCTACCCCGCCCACTCCAAGAACCACCACTTCCACAGCCAGGCACCGTAGCTCGGGCTGAGGTCCTCTTTGGCTCCTGGCAGCTGTAGCCCCTGCAGCCATCTGTACCGGATGTCTGCTGTGTTTTGTCCCCCACATGTAGTTTTGATATGTTTTTAAAACTTCATCTATATCTCACTTACTCCGCTCCCTGCATAGTAAGCGCCGTGAGGATGGGCAAATGCCTGTTCAGCTTAGGATCAGATCCTTAGCACGTGATACGGGGGCTGGTGCTCTACACCCACACCTGCTCTGCCGGCTCTCCTGGATCATCGTGGCCAAATGAGATGGTCTATGTAAGAGCACTTGTGAAAATTTTAGAACTCTTTCCATACCCCTGAAACCCCAGAAACGTAAAGAATTATTTTCATTATTATTGCTTTTCCGTACATTGATCCGGGCCCCATATTTCCAGCTTATGGTTTGGTTACAGCTCTACATGACCCAAATGGAAAGATAAAAATATTCTCCTTTGTTCATCTCCCTTTTAAACATGATTTCTCCTTAAAGGTGCTTAAAAGAATTTTATATGCAATGAGTCCTTTTATCGTCTATCTCTAATGTTTTGCCTGGCTGTTTATTGGCTATGGTGCGGCAATGTTTCTTAGTATTTTATAAAAGATATTTACATCTAAGGCCATAAGTAAAGTTGGTCTATAATTGTTTTATACTTGTCTTGTTTCATACGAAGTTATTCCACCAGTGTTAAATGAGTTGGTCAGTTTTCTTCTTTTTTCTCATGTTTGCCAGTGCTTGCCTGTAAATCTATCTGGTTGTTGGACGTTTTTGGAAGGCAGGTGTGACTGAGGATTAAATTTCTCTGTGGCCAATGCTACTGGCTTATCCAGGTGCTCTCTTTATTTCTGAAAAAAAATTTAATACTATTTTCTAAATATTGTGATACCTTTTTGAGGTTGTTATCACAATCTCTTTTACAGAGGAAGAAACTGAGGCTTGGAAACAGTGCCGCATGCTACGGAAAACAGTATAGTTCTTTCTCAAAAAATTACAAATAGGGGCCAGGCGCGGTGGCTCAGGCCTGTAATCCCAACACTTGTGGATCATTTGAGGTCAGGTGTTTGAGACCATCTTGGCCAACATGGTGAAACCTGTCTCTACTAAAAATACAAAAGTTAGGCAGGCGTGGTGGCACCTGCCTGTAGTCCCAGCTACTCGGGAGGCTGAGGCAGGAGAATGGCTTGAGCCTAGGAGGCGGAGGTTGCCACAAGCCAAGATTACACCACTGAACTGCAGCCTGGGTGACAGAGTGAGACTGTCTAAAAAATAAAATAAAATAAAAATAAAAAATTACAAATAGATTTACCATATGATCCAGCAATTCCACTTCTGGGTATATACCCCAAAGAATTGAGAGCAGGGACTCTGAACAGATACTTGTGCATCCGTGTTCATCGTGGCACTATTTACAATAGTCAAAAGACGGCAGCAACCCAAGTGCCCATCAAGGGATGAATGGACAAGTAAAATGTCTGTACATACAATGCGATGTTATTCAGAATTAAAGGGGAGGAGATTCTGACACATGCTAAACACAGATGAACCTTGAAGCTATTATGGTAAGTCACTTATATGAAGTACCTAGAGTGGTCAAATTTGTAGAGACAGAAAATAAGAATGGTGGTTGCCAGGGGCTGAGGGAAAGAAGGAATGGGGGCTTACTGTTTAATTGGTACAGGGTTGCAGGTTTACAAGATGAAAAGAATTCTGGAGGTAAATGGTAGTGGTTGTACACCATTATAAATGTATTGAATTTCATGGAAAGGTACACTTAAAGATGGCTTAAAATGGTAAATTTTATATTTTTTATATTTTGCCACAATAAAAAAAAGTACTACATTAACTGACAGACTAAACAAGGACTTCTGGCACCAAAATTAGACTGGAAAGAAATCAGATATCTCAGTAAAGGCGTCATGAGAAAAATACGATTGTCAATAGATTTTGTTGCACGTGCTTTAAGACATAGATTTGCTTTTATTTGGAATCACTTGGCAGTGAGGGAAAAGGTGTCATAATCTTTTTATGCCCTTGAGGCTCCAAAGTAGGGTTGCCAGATTTAGCAAATTAAAAACACAGGATGCTGTGCAATATTTAGCATGTGCTTACACTAAAAACATGTCTGTGGTGTTTATCTGAAATTCAGATTTCCCTGGGTTCTGTGTTTTATCTGGCAACCGTCTCTAAGAACCTGAGTCCACACTTGGCAAGAGGAGTTAAGGAATCAGTGTGAGAACCCGAAGTGCGAACCACAGTTGGTGTCTGACCTGGGAGTGCAGGCTCAAGGTCACGGGGACAGAGCTACACCCAGGTCACTCGACTCTGTGCTTGTGAAAGGCCAATGGGGAGCTGGTGGGTTTTCCTGAGGAATCCTTCGGAGAGACCTGGTGAACAGCTGTACTCATGAAAGGCCCATGCTCTGTTTTAACTCTGTTAGAGCGGGGGTGGAGGCAGGGCTGGGGTGCAAAGCTCAAGGCAGCTCCACAGTCTGTGTTCTATGTCCTGGTTTTGGTCACTTCCTCACCCAGCATGGTAGACCAGGATCTAGAATGTCTGAGCCTTCATCTCACATTGTAGCTGGTTTCCACAGAAACATGAAACCAAAGACCACCCACGGCACAGCAGAGGTTCTTGGCGCACGTGCACTGCTGCTGAGACGGGCACGTGCCCCTTTGGGCCCAGCTGCCCAGGAACTGCCTTTGAAAAGTCTGCTTTCCTCCCACGGCTGGTGCTATAGAACCATCAGCACGTCCACAACTGGCAGCTGCCTTTCTCTAAGGAACATCTTCATGCAGGTATTTAAATGGGAAAGAATTACAAATTTCAAATATACCCATCAAGAGGTGTGAATCCCCCTAAGGGTTCAAAAAACATAGGGAAGGCACAGAACAGGGACGGGGACCAGGAGCACAGCTGCCTTCCTTGTTTATCCAATCAAAATCTCTCAGAGACACAAACTCTGGCCTCCTCCATGTTGGAAAAGCAGGTCATGGCTAAGACAGGTGGAGACCGCTCAAGTGAGCATTTGGAAAATGGGATCATTTTTCTAAACGATATGGATAGCGGCCACTGTGACCTGAGCTGCAGCCACAGAGCAGAACTAAAATGAATGTGGAGGGGACTGAATGCAACTTCAGAAATCTGGGTCTACAGCTGCTTGGGCCATTAAAATAATATACTTACATGGTTTTAAAATGTTCCCTCTTTTCAAATTACACACATTATCCCAGAAAAGTAGCTGATTAAGGCAAACTGTTTCATTCCAAGTGGTGAAAATAAAATTGACAATAAAGGAAGCACTAACTTAAAATGATGCCATCTTTTCTTTTTTTCTGTCCTGCAAAATGCGCTGTCAGGTGAGGTCCTGATAGCACAAGGCCACGTCCAAGGAGGGTCCAGCTCCTTCCTTTGCTCCCTTTGCCCCTGTGACTTGCTGGAGCCTCCATAAAAGGTTATGTGGCCAACAGCTGGTGTGCTCATCTGGAATTAATCCATGAACATTGCTTGTCTGTTGTAGAAACTGGAGCTTAGAGTTTTCTTGAAGAAATAAAAGGCTTCATACTCTAATCTGTTATCATCTGTATTGACACTTTTTTAAAAGCTCAAAATGAAAAACATAAAACACTATCAAGTAATCAACAGAACATTCAATGTGTATAAAGATTTATTTTTTAAAAAAAATGTTAAAAAAGAGAGCCAGGGAATTCAATGTTCATTTTAGACCATTTAATGGAGGTATTTGTTGCACATGTGGTTTTAGTGTAACATAAACACAACATCTCTCCCCAGAAACACTTAACCTGAGTTGGAAATGAAATATGAACTGAGGAGATTCTTAATTCACACAAACACTTCTTTTCAAAATACTAGCAATTACTCCAACTGCGGATTCTGCTTGAAGTTCAGGACTCCGTCCCAGGACAGGAATGAAGGAAAACTCCGGGCCGTTCAAACGCTCTGCTGAAGTCAACGGATTGCACCTGCGGCCTCTTAATCAGCGCTAGCTTCCTCAAACACCCGCGGAACGAGGTCTGGCTGCTCAGGCATTTTTGCTTCACGCCAGCTGTTCAGGAAAGAAGAGAAGACAAATCTTGCTTAATTTTGTTGAAATGCGATCCATAGCACAAAAGGAACAGAAATAATCTCAAGTGGGTTATTTTGTTTTTAAAATTTTTCACTATTAAAATTAGAAGAATATTTTCCACATATGTGGTGTCAGTGAATAGCAGAATTCAGAGAAAACTTTTTTTTTTTTTTTTTTTTTTGAGACGGAGTCTCGCTCTGTCACCCGGCTCACTGCAACCTCTGCCTCCTGGGTTCAAGTGATTCTCCTGTCTCAGCCTCCCGAGTAGCTGGGATTACAGGCACCCATCACCACGTCCAGCTTATTTTTGTATTTTTAGTAGAGACAGGGTTTCACCATGTTGGCCAGGCTGGTCTCAAACTTCTAACCTCAAGTGATCCACCCACCTTGACCTCCCAAAGTGCTGGGATTATAGGCGTGAGCCACCACACCTGGCCAAAAACTTTTAATATATAAAATTTTAAGGCATAGTTATAACTTAAGTCATACAACAGGTGTTTATTTTATTATTTGCAACAATTCCTTGGAACATCTAAAATACATAATTCTAATCCAAAATTGACCAGAGAGATGAGTCACGAGTTTGTTTCCTAAAATGATTCCCTAGCCCTAAAATGACTCCCAAGTCTGAGAGTCATGAAATTTACTTTGGTAAAGTCATCCAGCTGCCTTTATATCATGTTCTCACAGTCTTACCCAATGATTAACTTGTGTGTGTAGATTATTTTAAGTTTTCCAAGAATTCTTAAGTATTTGAAATGGCCTTTCTAAAATGGTAAAAGATTTGTCAACCCAAACCATGTGCCTCTCTCAATCCCTATTCTACATCCACCTGAACCAAGACTTCGTCCAGGAACAGTGGCCCTTTTGAGTGGAAGAGCAGGTACCCGTACATACCAGGATAGCCACCAACATAAATGGGATTGTTGGTGTCCACCGAGGTAGACCGGGTGTGTGGACTTTCAGCGCCAACTGCATTCCCATCGACAATCAGAGTGATACGGTGTTTGCTTTTGTTAGCTTGAAGCGTGTGCCATTTTCCATCACAGAGCGCAGTGGCGGTTTTGGGCTCATACGTGGCTGTTATCCTGCCAGCACCATTGTTGACATGGAACAAGACCTAAACAAAGCAAATATCTTGGTGAGTTTATGTGTATTTAAGGAACACAGTCCATTTGTATAAGCTCTTGGAGTGGATAAAATTGCAGCATTATGTTTAAAAGGAGAGCTAACATGAGAAACAGAAAATAATTTTGAAAAAGAGCCTTTTAAAGGATTCAGATGATGGCCAAGCACGGCGGCTCACGCCTGTAATCCCGGCATTTTAGGAGGCCAAGGCGAGTGGATCACCTGGGGTCAGGAGTTCGAGACCAGCCTGAGCAACATGGAGAAACCCTGTCTCTACTAAAAATACAAAAAAATTAGCCAAGTGTGGTGGCACATGCCTGTAATCCTAGCAACTCGGGAGGCTGAGGCAGGAAAATTGCTTGAAATTGGGAGCTGGAGGTTGCAGTGAGCCAATATTGTGCCATTGCACTCCAGGCTGGGCAACAAGAGCGAAACTCCGTCTCCAAAAAAAAAAAAAAAAAAAAATTCAGATGTTATACTATTCCCCAAATTCCAGAAAGGGCAAATGGCCACCTTCAGGACCACAAGTCGGAGCACACTGCATCCTTAAATGCGGGCCTCATTTTTAGGACATTTTAGGAGTTAATAGCCTTATTGGAGGTGCTGGTCATACATTTTCTTTTTTGAGATGGAGTTTCGCTTTTGTTGTCCAGGCTGGAGTGCAGTGGGCGTGGTCTTGACTCACTGCAAACTCCACCTCCCGGGTTCAAGTGATTCTTTTGCTTCAGCCTCCCGCATAGCTGGGATTACAGGCGTCCGCCACCACGCCCTGCTAATTTTTGTATTTTTAGTAGACAGGGTTTCACCATGTTGGCCAGGCTGGTCTCAAATTCCTGACCTCAGGTGATCTGCCGGCCTCGACCTCCCACAGTGCCAGGATTACAGGCATGAGCCACCACACCTGGCCCGGTCTTTCCTGTTGATAGCACCTATGGGCAAATATGTACTAACTCTCTTCTGATGAACTGTAGATGCTCTCCCACAGCGAGTAAAGAGATCTCAGCTTTGCAAAAGATAGGAGGTGTTATGGGCTGAAGACCGCCCCCTCCAAAATTCATATGCTGAAGTCCTAACCCCTAGTACCTCAGAATGTGATTGTATTTGAAGATGGAGCTTTTAGAGGTAACTAAGTAAAGATGAGTCACCGGGGTGGCCCTCATCCAATCTGACTGTGTCTTTACAAGAAGAGAGTAGGACACAAACACGCACAGAGGGAAGACCACGTGAGAACACAGGGAGAACGAGGCATCTGTGAGTCAAAGAGAGAGGCCTCCGAATAAAGAACCTTACCAACACATTGATCTTGGACTTCTAGTCTCTAGAATGGCAAGAAAATAAATTTTCATTGTTTAAGCCACACAGTCTGTGGTTCTTTGTTCTGGTACCCCAAGCAGACTAAGACAGGAGGGAAGATTTCAAATGTACTTTTTGAAGATTGTTATGCTATATATGAAGCTTCTCAGTATTATTTCAAGATGGACTGTGACAATTAAAGATATAGGTCATAAACCCTTAGGCAACAACTAAAAATGTTAAAAAAGAACTATAAATAATAATCCAATGAGGTAAAATGTATAATACAACAGAAAATTACATTGTTTGCAGCAATTACACTTCTGATTGCGCTTTTAATTTTTTATTTATCTAAGTAAAATATTTTTCAAAAACAGAGATGGGGGTCTTGCTATATTGCCCAGGCTGGTCACAAACTCCTGGGCTCAAGCAGTCCTCCTGCTTCAGCCTCCCAAAGTTTTGGGATTACAGGCGTAAGCCACCGTACCTGGCCCCTGATAACATTTTTTAGATATCACATAAAAACATGCAAATAGATACAAAAGTTTTTAAAGTATAGATGAGGGAAAAAGTTGGCTGTAAGTCAGTGTAGAGAGGCAGCAATATGACATCAAGTTAGTTCTGTTTTGATATGAATTGGAAAAGAGGTGAAGGGCAAAAGGTCAGACATGACCTTTCAGATCCTCCCCACCCCCACTCTAGGATACCATAGGGGGTGGTCAAAACCCAGCAGGGAGTAAGTAGGGAAATACTAGAAACAACCACTGAGTCCCGGGGAATCTAGAACATGGAGACTTGTTCCTTGCCTTCCAAGAGGCACTAGTGTTGGAAAATTCAGGCCTCTTACTCCCACAACAACAAGCACTGACCACAGTGCTGCAGAAATGCTGGTAAAACGTAGACAGAGGACCAGAGAGACACCATCCCTGATTCCCCACGGCCTCTGTGTGGCTTGGCAGAAATCCCCAAGTTTGCACATGACCCCACGGGGAAGGGGGAAGATGAAGAGGTGGCACTGCCCGTGACAACCAGGATGAGAGGCCTGAGCTGAAAGGGACACTGGCCAAACTCTCCAGGAGCAGCCCCCACGCAGGGGCAACACTGAGACCCAGGACCACTCACTGTAAGAGGCTGTCCTGAAGCCCAGGAGACTGAGCTGTGGCTCAGCTGCTGTCCACGAGAGCGCCCACAGAAAGGAAAAGGGTCATCGAGACTCCCTGCCCTGCATCCTGCCTGTGCCCAGACAGCCCCAAAGGGGAGACGAAGGAAAGTGAGAACTGGGAGAAACTGCGAAGGAGGCGGTTTCCAAGCAGGAGACTAAAGGATGAGTACTGCAAATTGTTGACTTCATTTTGTTGCCAGCAGGAGAGGGACAGGAGAGGCTGAAAGGCAAGAGCAGAATAGTCACAGAAAAAAATAACGTGTTTTACATTACAAAAAATTAGAGCGTGGTACGTCTATCCCATGGAGTAATACTCCACCACGAAAGGGAACGGACTGCTGATATGCACAACCATCCAGATGAACCTCCCGAGGTCAGGCTAAGTGTGAAAAGCTGATCTCAAAAGGATACCTACTGTGTCACTTCATTGATGTAACACTGGCGAAACAGAAATTAGAGGGACAGCAAACAGATTAGCAGTTGCCTAGGATTAGGGGTACAGGAGTTGGGTGTGGCCATGATGGGGTAGTAAGGGGGAGCCTTTTGGTATTGATACAAGTAAGTATCTTGATTGTGCTAGAAAAATGCATAATGTTTGTAATCCCAGCACTTCGGAAGGCGAGGCAGGCAGATCACGAGGTCAGGAGTTTGAGACCAGCCTGACCAACATGGTGAAACCTGGTCTCTACTAAAAAATACAAAAATTAGCCTGGCATGGTGGTGCATGCCTGTAATCCCAGCTACTCAGGAAGCTGAGGCAGGAGAATCACTTGAACCTGGGAGGCAGAGGTTGCAGTGAGCTGAGATTGCATCATTGCACTCTAGCCTGTGTGACAAGAGCAAAACTCCATCTCAAAAAAAAAAAATGCATAATGCTACCACTAGGAAACCTGGGTCTGGGTGAAGGGTGCATGGGGCCCTCCCTGTACATTTCATTGCAACTTCCTATGAATCTGTAATCATTTCCAAATAAAACGTTAAAAAAAATTATTAGAAGGGATAGGGCATCAGGTCAGCAGCTTATTCTCAGATGCTTCAGGAAAAAAAGTTCTTTGTATTATAGTTGTAATTTTGCTGAAAGCTTACTTTCAAACATATAAAAAATTATTTTTGAAAAGCTTTTAAAAAACGAACAAACAAGTTTTTTTTTTGTAGCCATATCTGTTTTTTAAATAGTAATGGGACCATTGTTTGACTCCATAAAAATAGACAGTTGTGAATTTGAATCTGCTGTTTCTCAATTGCTCTGTCTCTGACACTGGGGGGAGGAAGACCCCATGGAGAGGAAGCACCCACCTTGCCGTCCACAAGCTCTAGTCCAATGGCATCCACTTTGGCAGTGCTGATCCCCAGGAGGACACCATTCTGCGAGGAGGTTCGAAACTCCAGTGTGATGTTCACATCTGTCTGGACTTTGTAGCCCTCTTTGACTGTAACACACAAGGACGGCCCAAGTCAGGGTGAGCGCTGCCAGGCCCAGGTTGAGCATTTGGGCTCCTGGCTAAGGGTCGGGGGACCTGGCTGTAGCTCCTCCTTTGGATCCAGCTCCATCCCCACCAGCAGGTCACTCCTGCCCTCTGAGTCTCGGCTTCCACATCGTGGAGCTTTTAAAGAAGACGCGTGCAGCCAGCCAGGCCAGAGCAGAGCCAGGCGTCTCCTTCATCTGTGGCCGCAGAAGCACGTGGCCCTGCCTCACCCTGTGGACACGTCCTCCCTGTGGCAGTCTTTCCCGTGGGCTGTTGGGATTTGATCCCTGGAATCCCTTTATCATCATCCAAGAATAGTCCACTTTATTTTCCTAGTATCTGTGTACTTGGAGGAATCATCATTTACTGAGTGTATCAGAGTCCATACTAAATTTGTTAAAGGTGGGGACTGAATGGAATGATTTTTTAATTCAGGTGATAAAAAAGGCTGAGCAGCCACACTGGGGCTATTGGCCACAGCAGGCAGCTGTTACCATGACCAGGGCTGAAGGAAAAGGGGAGAAGGTGGTATCCCCAGAGCATACCCGGGGGGTGCGAGGCGTACTGAGGCCACGGAGGGGCTGCCCAGCAGGGCTGGAGCCTGAGTCCCAGGAACAGGAGACAGGAAGCGCAGTGTGAACGAGAGATGTTCTGCTGGCTTCCCCCTCTTCCCCACCCAAACTTCTGCACAGCCTCCCTGGCGCCAGCTGGTCTAGACATTTTATGCTGCTGATTTTTAATTCAAAGTCCTTTCTTAACTTGGACACTGAGTGTGCATTACAGAGCCTGAGGAAAGTATAGATGAAACTAGCACCCCATGTCTGGCGTCTGTCAGGAGTCACACTGCTCCTGGCGGGAGACTTTGTCAGGCCATCCAGATAGCACAAGACCTGAGAAGGCTTTTTACGCCAAGAAATTAGGAATCAACTGGAATACTGAACTCAATGTGGTTTTCCTGTAGCCTTGTCCAGCGGGTCCTGTCTCGTACTCTCGGATCCGCATTGCTTTAGAGTCCAGGCTCCGCCGGGCACTGCTTTCGAGAGTGTTGCTAACACATACCAAGAGCTGCGTATCCACTTCCATCAAAGAACGTCCCCTCCTGGGCCGCCACGTAGCACCTGTTCACCGTGAAGGTGGACACCGGGCTGTCCTTGTCCAGCTGTTTGCTGTTAACCGTCACATCCCCAATGCAGGCAGGGATGCTGTGGGTGATCTAAGCCAAATGACATGCAAGAGTAGACGGTGGTGATTCTAACGAGAAGGGCCTGGACACATTTTCCTTCCACTTCATCAGATTGGTCTCAATAAAACACATTAAAATGTTATCTTTTTTTAAAAAAAACTTTGCCACGATACTTCACATGAATGTCTAAGTTAGAGCTACCATTTGAGCATCTTTGCTAATAATGCCGTGGAAGTGTTTTCTATTATTTTAGTGAAATATCGTGGAAATAAAAAAATGCCGAGTTTACTAATGTGCGAATACGCATTTGCTGGGCTTCCCTGAATTGCGCTGTGGCCATGTGGCTGCGGAAAGGGAGATGTTCATTAACTAAAAGACTGATCGGGTTCTGAGGGGCGGCCCTGGCACATGATCTGTGGACATGCCTGCAAAGTCAACTTCTTTACAAGCCCCAGGTTCAAACAAGGTAATTTATACATAAAGATGCCGTGAGCTATGCTCTTCTACAGAATAAGCAAAACCACAACAAAGGTAAAATGTCAGTACAGAAATGCTGCTTACATTTCCAATTTTCCTGGCCCGGTACTGGGAGGGCAGGCCTCCTAGGTAGAACAAACCCTCCACATCCAGCGTGGTTCCGTCTCCCACCACGGTCACCATGGGGGACTCTTGGCCGTCAACCGTTATTAAGCCTTTTCTTTTAACATAGTCTGTCTTGACCTACAGCGAAGTGAAAACATGCATAATTTTTAAGGAACCTGAGAAAACTTTAACAGATGTATCAACTTTAACAGATGCAACATCTGTTTCTGAGAGCTGTAACAACCTGAATGCAATGCTAAAGGGTGGTTCAAATTTTTAGACAGTTGGTGATGAAAAGCGGCTGAGCCTGGCAGAAGAAAGGAGGCAGGTATGAAACTGCCTTTGCAAAAACTGTAACAGTGAAAGAAACCTGACATAGAAAAATGATGACAGTAAGAGGAGTCTGACATAACTGACTCTATCTTGCTTCTGACCTCATAAGCTGTCTTTGCTAATTCAACCTAGCTATGGGAGGAATTTAGCTGACAGTTTAAAACAAAGATGGTAACAGTGCCTTCCAGAAATGGGAGGAATTTAGTGGATAGTTTAAAACAAAGATGATAACGGTCCCTCCCTAAAACTGATTCCCTCCTTGCTCAGGGACCAAAATCACCTCTGTAAAATTAAGGAAATGCCACAAGGTTGGAATTGTGATAGGGGCCTGAATTCTGCTAAGATACAGGCATAAACTCTAACCAGCCATTGTTTCTTCTGCTAAGATGTAGGCATAGTTAAACCCTAACCAGTCATTGTTTTATAATTTGCCTTTTTAAACTACTTATTACTTAGGAATCACATAGCCAATAGTCACAAACTTTATAACTTCCCCAACTGCCCCTATAGATAACATTGCTATTGTAAAACCTAAGACTGGCATTTGAGATATTTTTCAGACTTTGCATTCAGTATGAACCAACTGGCGCCACCCAGAGCAGTAACCCCTACCCAGAAACTGACTCAGCACAAGAAGACAACTTCGACCCCCTATGATTTCTTCCCCAATCCAATCAATCAGCATATGCCATTCCATATCCCCCGGCTGCCAAACTATCCTTGTTTGCACAAGGTTTAACCCTAGTCTTTGAATTCTTGGGGAGGCAGCTTTGACAATTATCTCCTGGCAAGTTGCCTCTGCAATAATGAAACTCTTTCTTTGCTGCAAAACCTGCCATTCTTAGTGCATTTGCTTTCCTGGGCAGTGGACAAGAACAACCCAGCTGGACAATTACAGGCACAGGTAAAGCCTGCTGCACACCAGAAAGTGGTCCAGAGTCCTGGTTATCAGAAAGCAAACGCCATGAGGGGAGGCTAGGCTTTACATACTCCTTGCCAAGTTGAGAACATGTCTAGTACCTTTTGTTCATCCCGCCAATGTTTGCTGAGTGTCTATTTCATGTCAGGTACTAAGCAAGGCCCTGGGGGTATTTCAGAAGCAGAAAAGATCCCTGCCCTTAAGACTTGCAGTCTCTGGGGGAGACACCAGACACGCACGGCGAGATAGAGATGAACGGGGATAATGTGCCTTTGAGAAATGGAGTGAACCCCAGTGATATATGGAACAAAACTCAGAAGCAGCCAGCACAAGCCTCCTGAGATCGTACCGTGTGCCACTTGCCATCGCTGAGCAGTGCGGGGTGAGAGACCTTTGTTCTGCCTTTGCCAAGGTCAAACATGAAGTGGAGGCGGCCCCCGTGCAGCTGGAGCACGGCGTAGTCTGCTTGGTTCTGATGAGCCACGTAGTAAATCAGGCCGCTGGAGGCGAACGTGCGGATACTCAGCTCAACCGAGAGCCTGGAAAAAACAAGCGCTGAGCGTTGAGAAAGGAAACTTTAACTTTTCATTTTTAAAACCTCAAAGAGAGGACTCCACAATTGTTTCGGCGTTTACACTGAACATCTCAGGAAAGAGGGGAATTCATTCCTTCATCCATTTACACATCCATTCATTTAACTGCCTACCTCTGTCTGCCAGGCTGTTTTAGGATGAGGATAGAGCCATGAACAAAGAGGAAGATCAGATCCCTTTGCTCATGAAGCTAATACAGAAACACACCAGAGAGTGAAAGTGGGTCCTGTAGAGGCCAACCGGTGGCTACCTTACGTAGTCAACGCGGGTAGCTCTGCAAAGCAGGTATCTCAGCCCAGCTCTGAGTGACAGAAAGGGGCAAGCCCCTGCAAAGTAAGGGGCTTGATGACAGTGGGCAGCAGGAAGCCCACCTGAGGCCGCGGGGGAACCAGAGCCACTGCAGGTGTGCAGGAAGGCTACACCTGGGTGGGCCCCGTCAGAGGGACCACGGTGCCACGGGAGCACCCCGGGACAGGATGAGGGCGGATGTGGCTCCATCATAGGGAGGAGGGGCTTTGAGAGTTGATTTTCAGCACAGTGGGAAGTCACAGGAAGGCTCTGAAAGGGGGAGTGACCGAGAATCCCTTTCAGAGATCCTCTGTCTAAACTGCAGAACGGGTCAGGGGTCAGGGTGAAGCGGGCCCCGTCAGGCAGCTATTACGACAGCCAATAGGGAGGGGTGGGTGGCTTAGACCAGGGTGGCGGCAGGGACTCAGAACAGATTCAGGAAACATTCTGGAGGAAGAAGCAAGAGGATGTGCCAATGGACTGGATTTGGAGAGTGAGAACAGGTGAAATAAAAAATAGCCTCTAGGCTTGGGCCTTGGGCAACCAGGTGAATGGTGATCGTGCCCGCGGCAACGGCAAAGAGCAGGAGAGCAGGACTGAGGGAGCCTGCGAATTCCACTCGGGGCGATGAGGCCCAGGAGCCTGTTCCAGTCCACATAGAGGTGTCGAGTGGCTGAGGAACCTGTCCCAGTCCACACAGAGATGTCCAGTGACCCTGGAACCTGTCCCAGTCCACACGGAGATCTCAAGTGGCCGGTGGGCCCACAAACCCTGAGTTCTAAGTGGAGGCCAGAGCTACATGGGTAGGTGCTGCCGTATCTAGGTGGCATTTTAAGGTGATCGGAACACAGAAGGCCATCCTGGGAGAGCGTGTGGAAGGGCCCAGCACTCTCAGCTGGGAGACTGAGGAAGGCGGGCCGAGAGAGAGCAGGGAACCAGGAGAGTGTGCGGCTGTGACAGCCAAGGAAGTCCACGAGCTGCTGAGAGCCCAGGGCAGGGGGCCCTGTACCACGTAGCTACATGGGGGTCTTGAGTAATTCTCTCAAGAGCAGCTGGGGGTGTGCGGGAGGCTGACCGGATGGTTAAACGAGGAAACAGTCCCTGAGGAAAGGGCAGCTCTTTCGAGCGCCTTGTGGGAAACAGAGCCAGGTACTGCGCATGTGTGTGCAGGGGGATGTGGCGTCTCCTGGGGGTTCTGCTATAGAAGTCAAAGTGAGAGAGGGAGTGGAGCGCAGAGGTTACAGCAGTCCCTTCTTATTCGCGGTTTTGCCTTCCAAGGTTTCACTTTTTAAGGTTTCAGTTACCTGCAGTCAACTGAGGTCTGAAAATACTAAATGGGAAGTTCTGGAAATAAACAATGTGTAAGTTTTAAATGGGGTATCACTCTGAGTAGCGTGATAAGGTCTCATACCATCCCACTCGGTCCTGCCCAGGAAGTGAATCCCGTCTGTGTCCAGCGGTTCCACACCACATGAGCCATGTGCCCGTTGGTCACTTTACAGTCGTCTAGGTTCACAGATCGACTGTGGCAGTACAGCGGGGCTTGTGTTCAGGTCACCCTGATTTTACTCAATAATGCCCTCGAGGCACAAGAGGAGTGATGCTGGCATACTGTTATAATTCTTCTATTTTATTATTACTTACTGTTAATCTCTTCCTGTGCCCAATTTATAACTCAACTTTATCATAGATATGCATACATAGGAAAACGCAGTGTATATGACGTTTAGGTACTAGCTGAGGTTTCAGGCAACCACTGGGGGTCCTGGAACGTATCCCCCAAGGAGAAGGGGAAACTACTGTACAGGCACAGACTCTGAAGCCACAAGGCCTGGGTTTGAATCCCAGCTCTACCATTTACCAGCTGTGTGACTTTGAGCAGATGTCTCAGGCTCCCTATACCTCAATCTCCTTATATGTAAAATGGAGATAATAACAATACTTTCCTCACAGGAGAATTATGAGGAGTAAATTAGATCATCTGTGTAAAATCTCTGTGTCAACCTCCAGTACAATCGTTTGCTGCTCTTGCTGTCACTGCTGACGATGGGGTGATGGCGGCATCTGTGTGCTGGTGGGAGTGTGCACTGAGGAGTGAGGTGTGGCTGCTGTGCATGTCCTAGGAAGGAGAGGGCGAGTGGGATCCAGAGGACAAGCTGGGGCTGGCTGGGTGGGCTTTGCTAGGAACAAAGACCCTTCATCTGTGGTAGCAGAAGAAGAGATAGAGGGTCAGGAACAAAAGCAGGGGCTGGTGTTTTTGGTGGTGGACAGATGAAGGATCTCTTTCTTCTCAATGAGGCAAGTCATCAGCTGGGGTGTGAAGAGAGGCTGTGGTGCCCAGGGCTCTGAGCTGAGAGCAGCTATGAGCAAGTTGTCATGGAGAATAAAAGCCATAAGCATGTTAGAGCAATGCACTGGTTCTCTATGTTGTCTGGAGGCTCCATCTGAGATTGACGGCTATGATATGCAGCTCAAACCAGCTGGGAAGGAGACGTCCATCTCCTCAGCCTGGTCTCCAGTGTGGGTTCCGGCACAGAGAAGGTGGAATGCTGGCTTTTACCTGGGCTCGCAGGAGTGGGAGAGACAAAGGGGTAAGGGAGTTTGCAGAGGAACACCTGTAACACTGGCCTGGAACCTACCTGGAGGATGAATTGTGATGTGGGGCTAGAGAAGAGGGGAGATGGTGGTGGGAGGGCATTAGGGCTAGTGGCTTAGAGGTCTCCAGGGAACTGACAAACTGCAGGAGTGGGGAGGCACAGAGTGGAAACGAGAAGAAAGGGGTTGTCTAATAGGAGGCTTTTAAAGTCGAGACTGTGAGAGGGATGGATACCTGTGAAGAAGTCAAGGGTATGGCGATGGGAGAGGCTGGCTGAGGAGGGAGCAGGGAAAGACCTTCCACAGATCACAGTTTGAGCACGGAAAGGTCAGGGGTTAGGCAGCTGCTGAATTCACAGAGAGGGATGGCAGGAGCTGCAGAAGACAGACAGGAGCCCAGGTCTAAGGGGTATGACAGGGTGGCACTCACAGTCAATGACGACAAGACAGGCAGGGCATGGCAGAGTCTGCAGGCAAGCCTGGCAGGTGAGCTGGAGGACCGCAGGAGGAGAGAGGAGCAACACGGAGTCCGGGAGCCCCAAGCTCCAGGCCTTGAGCTCTTCCCTTGCAGAAGGGTCCCAGGGACAGGCAGGTATGAGGGCCAGAAAGCACAGAGAGGGGTGGGTGTGGCACCCAGGACTTTGGCCACCGCAGTGTAAGAGTTTGGGTAGACAAAGACGTCAGACCAGGGAATGCTTAAAGTGGAATGGGGTTGAAAGTCCAAACAGTAATAGATCCAGGAGGCTTGATTTAGACGCCCACACGCTTAACTTACGTGCACACAGAGAGGGGAAACCAGCTGCCCTCCAGAAGGGGAAAGGCAGAAACCACAGACTCCCCCGTGAACCACCATGAAAGCGTTGTGATTTGCACCAACGCTGAATTCCTCTCTCTTTGCCTTCTCTTTGCCATTTGGTTGCAAGTCAAGCACTTCATCATCAAATAGAAGCAGCTTCTTTTGGAAGAGACTCCGTGGCTGGAGAACACCCCGTCCATCCAGCAATGAGACGCCGCGTAAGGACATTAGAAAGATACCTACCTCTTTCTGACAGCCGACTGGTTAAAAGGCAACAGGAAATGGCTGTTTTGTGAGAGACCAAACTGGTGGGCGCCGGGAACGTACTCCAGAGCTGCATCCTCCACACACTGTTCCTGTAAGAGACACACAGGAACACTCAGCCGCCACCGCAGCCCGAACCCCACTGACCCACGCGTGTTCCGCCATGAAGAGCCATCTCCGAAGCAATCCCATCAGAACAGCACCAATGCTTGTTGGTGCTCACTCCATCTTCGGTTTAAATGATGCACTTGCCAGCCCTTCATCCTCCTGAAGAAGGCACTTAGAGCTTCCGTCTTTCACCTTAATCCCACTCAACTTCATACGGACACTGAAGTTCAAACGGACACTGAAGTCTCTCCTATGAATTTTCATCAGGCTTAAGGGGCAAAGACCTTGCTGTCTTCCTAGGCCCCTGCCATGACCTGAGGCTCTGGGAATGGCCCTGAGGATGCAGCCGCCAAGATCAGCTGCGGTCCAGCACCAGAAAACTGGAGGTCCCACAGGTGACGTGCTTTGCAGGGCCTCAGAGTGTGAACCTGTGAACCTAGGTCCACAATGACAGGGCAAGATGCAGACAAGAGGAGCCAGGTGGGAAGGGCCCCTGAACCCCCCTGCAACCATCCGCGGGCTGCCCTGACACTGCCCAAGTCACGGGGGTCCCCGCTGCTGTTTTCTGGCTCAGCCTAGGCAGATGCTGCCAAGAAAACTGGCCTGAACTCGAAGCCTGGCCCTGCTCAGAAGGTCCTGCTCTCAACTGCTTCTGCCATCTTCTAAATTACTAGAGCGCACACTTTACACCAGGGCAACAGAGAAAGCACAAGGGGAGAAAATGAAAAAGAACAATGGCTGCCATTCAAACTCTTTGGCCAGAACTGGCTTTTCCTAAATGAATTGAATCTTTTTTTTTTTTTTAAAGCAACAAATATGTGCACGATGGCTTTACATGAAGTACTTATTTTCATGCTTTCCCGGCTAAATGTAAATTGATCATGAGTCCTTATACAAGCTCTGCCAAAAGCATATCCTACATCAGCCTGATGCGCGGCCGGGGTGTTGGGGCCAACAATCTATGAACTGGGCTGTGTCATCTGAGTTGCTTGGGGCATGCTTTCCCACCCTGTCCCCGCTCTGATTTTTAGCACAGCTCCAGCTCCAGCTCCAGCTCTCGCAGCACCTTTACAGCAAGGCCCCATTTTAACTCCCTCTGTCCTGGGCCCTCCTTTGCTGACTGGACCTGACTGATAGTAAAGGAAGCCGCTCCTACTGGAAAAGCCCGGGGCTCTGGCAAGAGCTCGCTGTCCTCTGCATCGGGAGCCGGCTTAGGCCTTTCTGACAGCCAGCAGGTGTCCAAGTCGACTTGCTCATGGCCAACTGCGCTGTTGAAATCCAAAAGTCTAGGCAGAAACAAGAGAGTGTTTTCAAAATTAGGCTATCACAAACCAGTCCATGAACCCAAGTCATCTGGTAACTGTACAATGAAAATCAATTAAAAACCATGTATATATTTCTCTTAGAGTAACCAAAGTGCCAATCCTTCACTGTGACTCGGAGTCCAGACATGCTATCTTGGATATTTCTTGTCTGATGCTTCTGCTTGCAATGGCACCCAGCCTAGCATATCCCCATGTTAGACCCTGGCCATTCCTGAGCACCCCCCAGGTCGGCTTTGATGCTGTCGCCTCCTCCTGCAGCCTTGACTGGACTGCTGCAGGGACACGTTTTTGTCTCTAGTTCCCAAGTGCTGCACGGTGACCTCCAAGAAACACTGACTTCTCGTTTACATGCTTCCCCTCGCCAGGAGGTCATGGGTTACGCTTGTCACGTGCACCATCACTCTGCAGCTCCTGTGCTGTGTCCTGTGCCCACACAGGTCCCCCTGGCACTTTCCCAGGCACAGCTGGGAACTTCACAGAAACGTTTCTGCTCTACTGAGTTCACAACCCCATGACTTTCAGGAGCATGAAGATGCCTCATGAATGAATGAATGAATGAATGAACAGACAACTAGGGGAATAAACATAAACCTGTACAAAAATCTAAACCAGAGCTCTGACATTATGATTGTATTGAAACCCAATGCTAGGTTTTACTCTTGCAAATTTCAGGGAGTCCTAAGAGGTAATTTCACAGAGAAGAAGACACTGTGACCATGAAAGATCCAAGTCCTTGTTCAAGGTCACTAGGCAAGTCAGTGACCCAGCCAGGAGGGAGCTTCAATTTCCTGATGCCCAGGGCACTTCCAAGTTCTCCTGGGCAGATGCTGGTCCCAGAGCACAGCTTGTCTCCCATCAGCACCCTGTCCAGAGGCAGAGGGTGAGCAAGGAGGAATGAACCGCTCATGGGCACATGCCAGTTCTCTTCTTCATCATGAGCTCCACACAGGGAATGGAGGCTTCCAGTTCTTAATTACACAGTAATTGTCTTGGGAGAAGCCATTAACAACCTGCAGCTGCTAGTAGCCCCGTAGTCAACAGCTCCTTCAAAGCAATGCTCTCAAGACAGCAAGAGACTTACATCACAAAATCCCTACGTTCCTTCAAATGCATGTCAAAAACATATTTAAATCCCGGCTCTTTATGGACAGTCACAGAGAGCTAATGTTCAGCGATGGTTTTTAAAGTATGACGACCAGATCTGTCTAACATTCTAATTCACTAAAATCCATGTGGGGGGCCTTTCATGATAGAATAATGGGGTTCACTCATTATTCGGGAACTTGCAAAATTTTCAATCTCAAACAGTAAAATTAGATTTCAGATTAATGTTAGCACTCACCATGAAAGATCAGAAAGTGCAAGAACATGCAGAGAGCAGGTACACTTACTCCAAATTAAAGATCAGGTCTTTGATACAGCCATGGAACGATCTTCTCGTTGTGAGCAGCGATGTCCCCTCTCCCTCTGGAATTCCCCCGACATACAGATTGGACATATTTATCGTCCTGCTTTCTACTAATGGGCCCAACTTCATTTCCACAGGATTGTTCTCATCCAATTGGACAGTGATAATTCTAAAAGTCCAACAGAGAAAATAAATGAAAAGCTTTAAACATAATGAAATAATAATTCCATTTTAGTTCATAATTCCCACAAGTTCTCACTGAAAATAAACGTTCCCTAAAGGTGCATTTTAACAAGATGCTGTCTGTGACCAAAAAGGTGAATCTTGAAAATTAAAACTCACAATTGAACATTTTCCAGAAACGAATGGAATGTTATTAAATATCCATTGAATGAGATTGCTTTTTGGAGAGGTTTTCTTTTTCTTTTTTTTTTTTTTTAACCTCTTTACCTATGATGAAGATGCCCAGTGTGCTTTTAAAGCATTCAGTCTACAATTTTGGAGGGAAATATACAGGAATGTTGATATAATGCTATTTACTACTGATATAATACTATTTACTAATAGGGTAGTACTATTTGCCACGGAATCAATCCAGTGTAAAGACAATTTATGCTGGGCCCCAGTAAAGGGCAGAGTTAAAGTTGTTTAATTATAAAAATTCTACAAGTATCTTATTACAAAGCAGATGAAATTCGTTCCCAGGAAACAATCCTAGCAAGGTTCTAGAATTATTTGGATGCCGATGACCCCAGTCATCTAGCCGCCCAGGGCACCACCGCAAGGTTCCTTCCACATTCCCTCTAAGCTCACCACACCCTTATTACACACTGCCTTGCCGCGTACAAGTACCTCCGATTCCTGACCAAGGAGATGGAATGGGCTTGTCCGTCGCTGCATGTACCCGTGGGAGCGTGCAGGAGAGCTTTTCTCAGGCCTGTGCCATCCCCAGGATTGACATGTACCTCGATGTTGCCTCCAATCAGCATGATGGAAAAGAAGGGCTGCGGAGGTTGCATAGAGAATTTCCCGACAAAACACATCACTATGTGATTTAGAAAACTTTCGTCTTATGAAGATAATGTGAGAAGATTAACATCAAGTGAGTAGAGCAATTCCTTAAGAATCTCATCAGCTGTCACAATTTTGAATTTTGTATGTTACTTTCTAATCTCTGTTCATATAATTTATGTTCCGCATTATGCTATTATCACCGAAGATGTCAAAGATTTCCATTTCTGCATTGCCTCATACTTATTGTTTATTGCTACATTAGATACCATCAAGTAGGTATATTGTACTTTGTCTTTTTATCCATGAAATTTAGTTTCCAACTTTTTATTACCATACATATGAATATTTAATTGTTTTGCCTGTGAGGTTGTTTCTAACATTATGAAAAGTAGAATTAAACATTTGAAGGATGTGAAAATATTTAAAGCTTTTAATTTTTTTAGACATTGAAAAAAGGTAGTTTATACACCAGAAGGATTGGAATGTGAGCGTCTCACAACACTCTTGCTAGCAATAGCTAATATCATTCATTTTTGCTGACTTAGTAAGCACACTTTGATTTGAAAGTAATTTTACTAAGACTAATGGAGAAAAAGTTTGGCAGTTCCTCAAAAAGTTAAACATAGAATTACCATATAACCAGTGATTCCACTCCTAAACACATACACAGAAGAACTGAAGACAGGGACTCAAACAAATACTTATCCACCTATGTTCATAGCAGCATTTATTCATAATAGCTAAAAGGCAGAAATGCCCCAAAGTTTATCCATGAAGTAACTGATGAACAAACTGTGGTATGTACATACAGTGGAATGTTACTCAGCTGTAAAAAAGAATGAAGCACTGATCCATACTGCAATGGGGATGAACTTCAAAGAAATGCTAAGTGAAAGATGCAAGACATCCTATGATTCCATTTGTACGAAATATCCAGAATAGGTAAGTCCATCTATAGAGACAGAAAGCAAATTGGTGGTTGCCAGGGGTGGGGAGAGAGGAGAATGGGGAGTGACTAATTAATGGCACAGGCTTTTATTTTGAGCGATGAAAATGTTTGTAACCAGATAGAAAAGGTGGCCTCGTAACATTGCGCATGCACTAAATGCTGCTGAATTGTTCACTTTGAAATGGTTGATTTTAGGTTATATACATTTCAGCTCAATTTTTAAAAAAAGAGAGAGATCAGTGGAGCTCCTTAACCAGTCTTAGTCACTGTTAGCCCTTCCCCCAGTGTGTCATGACATGTTTGGGTTCTGCAAACTGGTGTTCCAGTCCTGACTCTGACTCATACCAGTGGTGTGACCTCCAGCAGGTTTACCAGGCTCTCTGAACAGATTTCTTCCTCAGCAAAATGTAGCAGCATTCCCCTTGCAGCAAGGTTGTGATGATTACACAGCAATGTCTGTAAAGTACCTTGCAGAGTACAAGGTGGCATTCTACAGATTTTAGCTGCATGAACTCAACTTGATTAAGACAGTGTGCTAACATTCTGTAAAGTCTCTTCAAATCATGTGATAGACACAAATTTGAGCAGAGGATGGGGGAAATATCACCTATGCTCTTGAAATGGAATATAAATAAGGAAAATGGTTGCATTTCTCTTCTGTCCCATGTTAGTTTATTGTGCTTATTACAGGCCACATTTCTCTTGCTGCTCCTTTCAATCCTATAATAGATAAAGAAAATCTTGCTTCATCCAGCAGTAGACTGAAGACCTCAACAGGATTTAAGGACTGCTGTTTTAGCCTTTGAATGAAGAGAAATGACCACAACATGGGGAAGAAAACTCAGTATATGCTTTCTGAATGAGTTTTTAAAAAATTAGAGGTAGACAGCAAATAACTTTTTCCTCAGTCACTAGACAAGGAAGATGGATTATGCAATATAAGAATCATTGATTCATAAGGGGACGACATTCAGCAATAATAACTTTTACTTTTTGAAAATGCACATCCATAAACAACCAGGAACACAGCGACAATAAATGTTTATGAGTACGTCATTTTCCATTCATTGTTTCCCGAAGTCGTTTCCTGAGACTGGGGCTCAGGAGCACCTACTCACCACGTGTGACTCCTCACGATCGCGCTGCTTCTCCGCATCCCCGCCGAGGGCAGCCAGGATGATGCCACTGCTGTTCTTGGTGGCAAATGTTACCAGCCATTCTGATTCTGGTGACAAAGACTTGGGTGGCAATTCAATGTAGCCGCCTTTCAAGAAGCTAACACTCCGGATGGGCTGGTCACAGAGGAGATGAAACAGCACGGTGAGTTCCCAGCTGCGGCCAAACCTCCCGTGGGGAGGACACTACTGGTCTCCCCATCATCTCTTTCCTATCCCCACTGGTTTGTTGCGTTAGGATGTTGATAAATCAATGAACACTTAAGGAAACTCATGTGAATATTAATAACAATGTTCCCTACCTCCAGTGAGCAGCCTTTTCTCACTCCATAGGAATTTCTGAGTAAGTCGAAGGTTGATCTGGATATTTCCAGGTTCTTGATGCAGCCCACAAAGCTTTTGGCGGTGACACCTCTCCTGTAGGGAAGGGCATGAGAACAACCACAAAATTTGGATTTTCAAATTCCATTTTTGAACAAAGGAATACAAAGCCACTGGGCAAGGCACAGTGACTCATGCCTGTAATCCCAGCACTTTGGGAGGCTGAGGTGGGAGGATCACCTGAGCCCATGAGTTTGAGACAAGTCTGGGCAGCATAGTGAGACCCTGTCTCTACAAAAAATAAAAAATTAGCCAGTCATGGTAGCATGCACTTGTAGTCCCAGAGACTGAGGCAGGAAGATTGCTTGAGCCCAGGAATTTGAGGCTGCAATGAGCCAGGATTGTTCCACTGCACTCCAGCCTGGGTGACAGAGCAAGATCCTGCCCCCCAAAAAAAGAAAAAGAAAAAAAAAAAACCCCTATACTTCTGGAAAACCTGTTTCCATGTGTTACTCTGCAGAAATATCTTGGCCTCCCTCTAAGAACAATATTGATAGTGAGAACTTTAGGTCAAACAAGTACTCTCCTACTCTCCTTAGGACTAGAGAAAGGGATCAAACTTAGTGAGTTTGGCTACTTGGATGGCTACCCACAGAAAACACAGGCCAATTATAAGAAAGACAGTGCACAGCGCCTTGCAGCACACCGATTCAAATCCAGTCTCCATGTAGAGCAGAAAGTTTGCTTTCCATGGGGACCAGTGCAGGTAATGCATTTCCCAGGATCTGACTGCTAAAAAAGAAAGTCATTGGCTGTTGTTTACATTGCATATCCATGAACTTTATCCTAAAGGAAGTAACTGCATGTGGTAAAGTCTGGGACTATCTGAAACTCTATTTCTCAATGTTCAAGTCAATATCACATTTTTCTTACCAGAAGTCTCCACACTCCTGGCTAAGGTCAGGCTATAATGTAGTCCAGCTCTCATTTCCAAATCATGGAGACCACCGAACATCTCCCAGCTGCACTCTTCTGTACCAGCTCTTCACAAGAGAGCTTTGCAATAACATGGTTTCCTGTTACAGTCACACCTCATTTTTTTTTCTCATGTTGAAACAATGAGCTATGGACCGCTAAGCAACTACATGATTTTGGACAAATTTCAGCCTTTCTGGATCTCGAGTTCTTTCCATGTAAATGAGGAGACTGGCTTTGATGACACCCAAGTCCGTTCTACTGAGAACATCTGTGATATGGGCTTCTGTCCTTTCCTGCATTGTCTACACTGGGCCATCTGGGCAAAGTCCAGATGTACTAGGACATAGCTGAGGCTACAGGAACACCCCAGTCCTGGTCCCAGCATGACAGGGCATGAATCTGGGATTGGATCTGGAGACAGCTTCCAGTCCTGACTCTGTCTTGGCAGGGAGGTAAGACTTAGCAAGTGACAAACTCCACTGAGGTTTAAATGGACTCAGTTCTAAGATCAGGAGGTGGCTGTGGTTGCAAACTGTGTTCTTTGGGACTTTCCAAGATTCCTGGCAAAGAGAAGGGGCACAGTGGAGAAGTGGCTCTCTCTACAAAAGGCTGCTCATCATAGCAACTGAATGGCTGCAGTTCTGTGCCATATAAGAGGATTCTATAAAAGAACCTGACGTAAAGACGTTGTAGCACTGCTACAAATGGACATTTGCTAACCACTACGCTGAATGGCCCAGTTTGGACATTTAATGACCCCACTCCCGGCAAGTCGTCTTACCTTAACTACTGGACTTTCATAAGTGTCTTTTTTTAATGATGTGAAAGAACTTTAGGGTTTAATTACAAACCAAAATTACAAAACTGAGGACAATGAACCAGCCACACAAAGTTTCTGTAAATCATTCAAGTCATAAAGCAAGTATGACAGCAAGTGGGGTCTCCAAAGATTGCATGGTAACAGGATTTAGATGTTCTAAAGGCAATACATATAAAATCACTAATCCTTCTGCAGAAGGTCTGCTTTACTTCTCAAATCACACGGCATAGAGTACTTTGAATAAATAAAAGCAGATTACAGGTTGAACCGTGTCCTCCCAAAAGATATGGCAGTCTTAATCCTCCTTATGTGTGATTGTGACCTTCATGTGGAAAAAGGGTCTTTGCAGAGGTAATCAAGTTAGGATGAGGTCATAAGGGGAAGTCCTTATCCAACGTGACTGTTGTCCTTATAAAAAGGGGGAATGTGGACACAGGGCACAGGCCAAGGAATCCCTGAAGCGACCAGAAGCTAGGAGCACGGGACAGATTCCCTCTCACGGCCCTCAAAAGGAAGCAAGCCCTGCCAACACCTTGCTTTTGGACTTACAGTCTCTAGAACTGGGAAATAATAAATGTCTGTTGTTTAAGCCACCTGGTTTGTGATACAATCCATTCGCAGCCCTAGCAAGCTAATACGGTTGGAAATCAGGGACACGAAAATTCTGCAGTTTAGTATCATACCTTACAACTCTTGACCTTGGTAATCCACCCACATAAATCGGATCCTTGTCTAGACGGTTGAGGTCAGAAGACGCTCCCGGAGTCTCGCCCTGCTTGGTTTCTTTATTACTGGTGTTATAGGCATCGTTAACTGCTAGGACTCCTAAAAGGAGAGCACAGACAAGAGATAAGAAAAGGGAAATCCCTTTCCATGTTAAGGTAAAATGCAAACTTCTGGCAACAAAGTTCATTTACAAAGGCATATTCTTCTAGATTCTATGAATTTGATCAGCTAACGTTCTTGGTTATTGAAGGACAAATGAAAATCCTCTCTATCAAAGTCAATACCCATTGCTAAATGAGAGCAGTATGTGTGTAGAAGAAAATAGAATGGATTTGATTCTTGATTCCAATTTAGCATTTAACGTTAAATAACACACCTGGAAATCACAGGCAAATACAAGTATAACACTCCTCCAGCAAAATGTGAATCCTGTTGCTTAGTATTCCAAAGACAACACTGGCTTTCAAGTAGACTATCATCCAATACCCAGGAGACTACTGTGGAATAGAGATTGCTGATTTTGACAAGATTTCTATTCTTATGAGGGTGACCGACATCTGCTGAGTCCATCTGTCTCTACCTTGCTTCCGGTTTCGCTGGAAGGCAATTTTGTACCAGGTTCCATTGTTATAACGTCTGGCTGTCAAAAGGGTAAGGGGTCCTGAACCCAGGTCTGTCGTAACCTTCACTCTGCCATGGAACAGCTCGATGGATAAAAAGTCTCTCTGTAAAGAAGAGAACACAGTTCCCCAGGTTATAGCTTTATCCCAAGTTTCCCTTTCCCTTCAAGTCAGGGATGGCCGAAACCTTCTAAAAGAAAACTGGATCTGGCCCCACAGCCAGAGGTCTATCGGCGATGAAACCAAAAATGCCCATGAAGGCTTTCTAGAACACTACACTAATATAAATGAAACACCATCCGTTGTTACCAAAATCTACAATTCAGTAAGAGAAATGGAATCTCCTTGTATCTTTTTCATTCAGACTGACAAGGGGCCAGTTCTAAAAAACAAAACCAAAAGATTGAAAGACAGAAATCACCAGCACATGAGATGCAAACAAGAACATGAAATTCTCATGGATGGAATTCAAACAATGTCACTGTGGTCACAGTGAACCCAGAACAAGACATATTATTTGAGCTCAAAATTTAATAACAAATGTTGAATTGACATCTATAAAGACTAGAAGCTAGTTTCTACTCGCTGTTCTTCTATATTTTTCTAAAGGTTCTACAATGATAATAAATAATTTTAAATGAGGAAATTGTTTAGCACACAAATACATTAATACTAGCATATGTGCATAAAAATTGTATGGCATACATATGTACATATTTAATTAGTAAATCCTCATTAAACATAAACAACCACATAGCAATCTAAATGTGTATATATAGTAGGGCCTAGGGCCCCATAAAGACTCTTACTATGCCGTATGAACCCAGGTAGAGAAGAAGTCCATTAGGTGAAAAGGTATTAAAAAGCATGATTATCTGGGTCACGGTAGCCGGAAGTGACTTCTCCACGACAGAGTACCCACTCCCGTCAAAATGGAAGGAAGGGTCTTCATTCTGGGAGCTGCAAAGCAGAAGAGATGAAATAGAATCCATTCTCAGGAGGGCAGAAAGAACCAAGAACACACTTACTGAGTTCTCCTTCACAAAGATCACGGTAGAGCTATTAGTTCCATACTTTCATAACAAGTGTAGATGATAATATTTAAAAATATGCTTTTGCCATATGAAGATGCAAGACAAATGCCCAACTGCTTTATAAGGAAAATAAAGTTAATGTAGGCAGTATTCATTATGGTAAAAGACATTTCTTTATAGGAGGATAACTGCTATAAATATTTCAGTTTACCAACTGGATTTGTTTGTTCTAATCTCCTTTAATGTAACTGTCCTCTCTTAACTCTGGTGTCTTCAGAATAATTTTTATATTGACATTTTCACTCTGCCGATGAGGTTTTAACTAATACCTCAGGGAAACTAGAGTTACGATGGAAAGCAAGTTTGTGCCCATATACCAGAAGCATCACTTCACAAAACAATCACTGACATCCTCAAAAATCTGCAGGATGAGCTTAAAGACCCATATCATACTCAGAGATATGGGATTACAACAGGGATACAACAGGGTTACAACAGGGATATAATACGGCCCAGGGCATTTTCAGGTGAGTGTGTTTCCTGGTCTTCTCCCCCAAGACAGCAAAAGGCTGACTTGACTCGCTGTTCAATTACAAAGCCATTCATCTGGAACAGATCAGAATCATGTATGTTCCAAAAATAATTTCCTGGAATATCATAAGGCTTGAGAGTAAAATTTGGATGAGGATGGTTTTTGGGTAAGAATTTGAACTTCTCCCAGTTAGAGGTGTAACAACCAAACTCAGTGCCACATTTCCAAGCAAGGCAGTCTAACCAAACAGTAAAATCATTTCCATGGATGATAAAACAACACAAAATAAAACAAAAAATAGCGCTTTGTGAAACCTGAGGTTTCAAATGTATAACTACCTACTCTTGCTTTTTCAAAAATTTCCATCATGTGGTCTCTTTGAGGAATTACAACTTAAAAGAAATGCACTCTGCATAAATTCTTCAACTATGGTTTAATTCTTTAATTCTTAAGCCTTTGGCTTCCTAGCCATATGTTCCATTGTTCTACCTCTTGGCCAGCCACAGTTCATGTGCCTGAGGACAGAGACTCTAGAGCTAGACTACCAGGGTTCAAATCCCAGGTCCCCAACATGCTAGCTGTGTGAACTTGGAAAACTCACCTAACCTCTCCGTGTGCCCTTTCCTTCATCTATAAAACAGGGATAACCATAAAACCTCTCTGAGAGGGCTGCCCCAGGCAGTTCTTAGAACAGTGGCTGGCACACAGCAGATGTGCTCTCTCATTATTCTGCTGTGTTTGGAGGTCCTCGATGGGCTGGTCCCCATTTCCACCTATGAAAAGCTGAGCCTCAAAGATTAAAGTACCTTGTTCAAGGACACACCCCAAGAAATCACAAAGCCAGGTTTAAAACAAAACTCCAGAAATCTGTCTTGGTCCTCAGTGCATGGCCCTTCCCTCTCCAGAGCCCGTGAGCCCTCCTCTCTCAAGAACATGGGGGCTTTGTCCCTCCCCAGAGCCCATGAGCCCTCCTCTCTCACGAACATGGGGGCTTTGTCCCTCCCCAGAGCCCGTGAGCCCTCCTCTCTCAAGAAGGTGGGGGCTCTGCTCCTGGGTTCTCTCCCTTAACAGGGCCTGCTGGAGTGAAGTGGCCACGAAGAGGGGGGCCTCAAATGAAATGATGACTGAACACGACCGAAGGCTTGTCCCCATGTCAGTCACTTCCCTGAACTTCTCCCAGAGCCCCTGCACGACTGTTCCCCATACATGCCTCAACGGTCGGCCCAGGTGCCTGTTCCCCAAGTGGGTCCCCGCCTTGGTCAGGGCCCAGGACAAATGAAAGCTCGGTTCATCACAGCACTTCATGGACAGCTCTGTTCCAGCCTTGGAAATGCCCCCATTACCCGCAGGTTCCAGTGGGAGCCTGCCATCAGGAGGGCGTCCGCCCTCCCCAGTGCTCAGCCCTGTGAGTCTGGAAGAAACACCAGACCTCCCCGATCCTCCGAGGGCTCCCTCGTGAGGTTTGGATAATCCTGAGCTGACCTACTAGCGTGCCCTGCTGCCACCCCGCGAGGGCGTGAGAGAACCCTGGCTCGGGCTTGGGACGCTGCTTCTCCAGCTCTGGCCCCTAGCCACAGCCCATGCATCTTCTGCTTTCTATACAGGCATTTTCCCCTAGGCCATGAGATGTCTGAGGACACAAACGTGTGATGTATGTGGACACGGCTGGTACCTAGCAGAGGGCCCAGAGCACAGGTAACTGACTCGTGACAAAGGCCAGCCGCGTACCCAGCACTCAGTCACAATGTCCACTTGTAAATAACGCAAGGATTATGCCTGTTAATTACATAAAGGGCCTTTCCATATTGATTTTGATGAGGACTGTTAGAATCAGTGGTTAATTTTGTAGTATCCTTTGAGAACATAAAAGATTGCTCATAATTACAGAGTGACACCATGTACAAGTATAATAATATATTCAAAGAGGAATAAAAAGGTTTCAATTCATTTACTTGGTAATATAAATCACATTTAAGAGTAAACGGTCAAAAATTTTTTAAAAATTTAGAGGACACTGATGGGCTACACTAGTGATTTAATAATGGCAAATTATACACAAACCGAAAGGGACAAGGAATGATCATCTAAGTGTGTTAAAATGGATTGTTACTAGAATTAGGGTATTAGCTCTTTGAACTAAAGCTTTCGTCTAACAGGAGAAGGGGCACAGTGGTGGATGTTACCTAAACTGAAGACAGTTCAATTTACGAACAGACAAAGCACCAATCTGTGCCTGTACCAGCACTTCACAAAATATGTTTTATGAAGCCGAAGAAACTCCAGATGCCCTTTTTTTTTTGAGACAGGATCTCACTCTGTCACCCAGGCAGAAGTGCAGGGGCTCAAGTGCTCCTCCCACCTCAGCCTCCAGAGAAGCGGGGACTACAGGCGCACACCACCACGCCTGGCTAATCTTTTTCAATCCACCTACCTTGGCCTCCCAAAGTGCTGGGATTACAAGCATGAGCCTCACCCAGAGGTACCTTTTCAAAAAGGGTTCAAGCTCAAGTGAGTTTGGGAAACGCTGCAACTCTGGCCTCTCCCCAGGACAAGGCTACCATACATGTTAGCATATTAATGCTAATTAAAGGCTCCGATAGCCTCGCAACCAAGGAACATGCTTATTTTTTTAACTCAGTGTTTCCCAAACATTTATGATCAGTACACAATACCTATTAATACCCTACGCCAAACTAGTATTCTTTACAAACACCTATTTTTGGAAATGTTGGCCAATATAATACAAGAATAGCCAGCGGATTTGTTCAGTCCCCAGAAAAACATATTTAATCAGACCCTAGTTTGGTTGAGCTGATCAGTCAATGTGGTTCTACTACTCAGCTGGGTGGCCAGCCCTCCGTCAAACAGCCAGTCTCAAGTTGGCAGGAGGGGAGCATCTTTGACCCAGTCAAAGGTCCAGGTGGGTGGAAATCCGGTGGCAGGCCAGGTATTTCAAGGGGAACAAAACATGCGACCACCTAAAAAGCTGACTTCCTCAACCCAACAAGAAAAGAAGAGCCGGAAATCATTCAATTCATTCGGTGCTGTAGTTTGACCGTCAATGGTTTCAAAACACCTCTGGAAATGACTGATGAAAACAGAGGATACTGTCACAGGTAAAGCAGGGGGACTTTTTCATACTAGAAATGTTTAATTTCTGTTAACCATTTCTCTTTCTATCAGTGAGGTTAATGATCTGGGGTCAGTGGAGGGGACAGAGTCTAGGGGTGGGGGTGTTTCTCATGTTAGAATGTCTAAATTGCTGGAAGAGTTCCTTGCTGGAAACACAGGATAAGGAAAAAGTGATGGATCAGAGAGCCTGAATTCAGGTGCTCATTCCACTGAAGTTCTAGAGCAGGGCATGTCATTACCTAATGAGGCAACAGCATTTTTTATCATAGTTGCCAATTACAAAGCCATGCTTTTTCACATGTTTACTGTCAGAAAAAAATAAAATCCTGTGACATTTACCTACAAAGCAAAGCCACATCACTGTAGGAGACCAGTGGTGAAGACTGGTGAAGTGTTTCCAGTTTATAAAGCACTTTCACACACATCATGTTGTGTGTTCATCCCTATGATTTACAGAGGTGGGTAAGACAAGTACGATGATCATTTTTCTTTTCTGGAGAAAGAAACCAAACCTCAGTGAGGTGAAGAGACTTATTATCCAAAGTCAGGGAAAAAAAATTTGGTGGGAGACCTGGGCCAGAAGCCTGAGAAACCCAAGACTCCAAACCCTATATTCTTTTTCAATCCTAAGGCTACAATCACCAAGCCTCCAAGTCTCTGGTCCCAACTTTTTTCTTTTTTCTTTTTTTTTTTTTTTGAGACGGAGTCTTGCTGCTCTGTCACCCATGCTGGAGTGCAGTGGCACAATCTTGGCTCACTGCAACCTCTGCCTCCTGGGTTCAAGCAATTCTCCTGCCTCAGCCTTCCAAGTAGCTGGAACTACATGCATGTGCCACCATGCCCAGCTAATTTTTGTATTTTTAGTAGAGACAGAGTTTCACCATATTGATCAGGCTGGTATCGAACTCCTGACCTCAGGTGATCCACCCGCCTCGGCCTCCTAAAGTGCTGGGATTACAGTCATGAGCCACCATGCCCGCCTGGTCCTAACTTTTTAAGGGGAAAAAGAGAAGGCTTAAACTATAGACCTGACAATGACAAAATGAAAAATTCACCCATGAGTTTCTAAATGTGCTGTAAGTTGCTTTAACTGATCTTGCCACTGCTCACTGTTAATTGCAGATATCCATCTGGACAGAGCAGCCCATTAGACAAGAGAAATTATATCAGATGTTACATTTCTCTAATGGAAAAAGGCAATTTATTGTCTTAATTACTAAAGTGATGGAAAACAGGTTTTATATACTTAAGGGGTTGCAGTTATTTTGTTATAAAATAATGGGTGGGGGGTGAAGATGTTGCACTTGGTAAGGTTAAGGCCTTGAATGCCTTTATATCAATATATGCGGAAAGATACTAGTTTTTCTCTATTTCCTAATGCAGTTTATTTCTGGAATTATAGAACTTGGTCCGGAATTGGGAAGTACTTATCTGTAAAAACTGACCACACAAGAAAAAATTCTTATCCTTGGAGATGTTTTCAAAATAAAAATGTACAGTGATCTCTAAAGATCTGGTTGTGGCTCTCTGAGACAGAAGGTTGTTCAAGAAATTGTCTGAAACTTTTAGGGTTTATGATTCATGATCAAAGCATACAAGACATAGGAAAAAGAGCACTTCTTTTTAAAGGATTAAAAATGATACCTGTGCTTCTCAGTAACTAATCTACATTATACCGTTTGACAATATAATATAATAATATAATGTAGACTGGTATAATCTACATTATACCAATGTCACAGGATGATTTTTTTTTGACAACAAACGTGTGGAAAAAAGCATGGCTTTGTAATTGGCAGCTAAACACCTACCAGCGATAACACAAATTCTGTCCTCCCTCGACGTGCATGTATTAATAAATTATTTCAGCACTTCTCAGATGTTAACAGAATGGCATACTATGTGCTAAACCATGAGGACATCTTACCTTCCGAAGCACCCGTGGCACTTGCCTTCCCTTTCGATATAGTTCCATAGGCCGATGGATTTTCCATTCAGGAAGGCCTCTCCCAAGCAGCCTTTAAAATGAGTAACCTTCACAGCAGGCGATTTCTAATGCAAACAAGCAAACAAACATAACCAATATATAGCTGACGAAGCAAAATACATTCTCCAAGTACACAAAACTTCTCCCTGGGAGCTTCAATCTAACAGATCCAAATTTTGAGAGAACAACATTAGAAAAAAGGCCAGTTTGTAATCACTGGATTTCCTTCCAGTTATGAAGTGAAATCCTAGAATGAGTGACACTGGGCAGGATCTTAAAGATCATCTCAGTGACTAGGGTTGATGGAGAAAACCGTGTTGCATGGGTGAGAAAACAGACAGCCAGAGAATGTGATTGGTAGTGAGGGCCCA